AAGCAGGCAGTTGTATTGCATCACGCCACGAAGGCAGTCGAGAGGTATCGAGAGGAGCCTGCGCCGCGGATAGAGAGATAGGTTATACCGTCGCCAAGAGGCTCCAACTGGGGTCACTACCATATAGGGTCGCTACCGGACATCATCTGTACATGGCAGCGAGCCCTATCCTATCTACACCACACACACACGACTACACAGACTCTGAGCTACTCGCTTCCTGGAGTCATAACTCTCCAGCGATGCACGCTTGCATTGGACTGGCATGGCTTGACCAAAGAGACACAACACGCTGAGGTCGAGGCCGCGGCCAGATATCTCGTCGAGTTCGAGCCACGGCACGTCGTCACGCAGCGAGAGCTCTTCCATGGTACGGCGTGGTGGACTGCATGATGGCTTTGCGCCGTCCATGCGATTGTTTACGCCGCCGCGAGAGCGACCGCAAGGGCGACGACGGCAGCAAAAAGCTGTGGATCTCGCGCAGCATGTCGGTGTGGGGACCCAGCATGCACGACGAAGTCGCTGGACGTCGGCGGCAACGACGGCTGCGCAGTCAGCACAGTGGTCACCCGCGTCGCTGGCTTCGTGCATTGCGCTGTAGTAGTGCGCCAGTCGGCTGGCGCGTGCAGACCCATCCATGGTTGACGACGGTATTAAATAGTGTCATGCTCGATCGTCACGCATGTCATTTTAAATCGTGTTGTTCTCATCTTGGCAACGTTATTTACATCGTAAGATGTATAACGTTCCAATGCATGGAAAGATCGTCGTTCGTAGCCCTAAACCCTTTCGAGCGATCGATAACAGCCCAAGATTTTGGTTTTCGACATGCGTCTACCCGTTGGCTATCGACAACATGCGCCTAGACAAGACACGAGTCTTTTACAGAACGATCAACAACATAGTACATCTTTAGAGCAACAACATTATACATCTTTAGAGCAGCAACATATAATTCACTCGGACGTGTACGACGCGATCTCAATCTCCCGAGCACGCGGATTGATTGGTCGTCGGGACAACCGGTCAGCGTCGGGGCCAGCGCCGGCTCGGGGGGCGTCCGTGGGAGCCGCAGTGGGGGTCGGCTTCTTGCCGAGGAACTCGGCGTTCTCTG